ATTTGTGGACCCCACTATCAAATTGGTTCATATTGAGGTCAAAAGGGTCCAAAATTAAACTTCGTTTGATTTCATCAAAAATTGAATTATTGGGGTTCTTTGATATGCCAAATCTAACCGTGTATTTAGATTTTTAATTTTGGGTCCTGTTTTTTAAATTGGTCTACATTAAGGTCCAAAGGGTCCAAAATTAAACTTAGTTTGATTTTAACAAAAATTGAATTCTTGGGGTTCTTTGATATGCTGAATCTAAACATGTGTTTAGATTTTTGATTATGGGCCCAGTTTTCAAGTTTGTCCAAGTTGGGGTCCAAAATTAAACTTTGTTTGATTTCAACAAAAATTGAATATATGGGGTTCTTTGATATGCTGAATCTAACCATGTATTTTGATTTTGGACATTGGACCATAATAGGTAAATTAAAAAAATTCAAGTTCTTAGACCACATTCTTTCTGTGTCAGAAACCTATGCTGTGTCAAATATTTAATCACAATCCAAATTCAGAGCTGTATCATGCTTGAATGTTGTGTCCATACTTGCCCCAACTGTTCAGGGTTCGACCTCTGCGGTCGTATCAAGCTGTGCCCAGCGAAGCATTTTATTAGATACGTAAACCTACGGATTATTTTAAATTTTTATTTTATTACAACACAATGTTTAATCAATTCTGTTAATGTTTAATGCATTTTATTACATAAAAAAGAACCATATACCAACAAATTAAAAAACCATTGCGTTAAGTTTTGCACCAATTTTGTATGTTTACTAGCAATGTGCAGGAACAAATATATGTTGACACCTCAAAAAATATGAAAAAAACAGAATCTTCAATAGTTAACCATCAAAACATAATGTTAATTTTGAAATAGCTACCTCGGGTGCCGAATTAACCAGGTCCTGATTTGACAAGATACCAAATTGACTAGAATTCCTAATCCAAATAATGGGCTACTTGATGTTTATACACCTTATCGCTATTTATTTGCCATTACTGGATTTCACAGACCTTCATGTAAAATTTTGACATCACAAGAGAAAAAGTCTGATGCAACAAAGGAAAAGAGATTGCTGTCTGATGTCAATTGTTCAAGTGTCGCAAATTCTTGGGTTGACTCAAGTGTTGTAGATTCCCAAATACTGATAAGGTCTATTGGAGCCATATTGAATATGGTGCATATTTTGGATGGAGGGGGAAATAGTAAGAAAGTACAGGAAAACCTATGCATATTTCCAAGCAACTGTTCTGTTGCAATGATATATAATTAATATTGAATAAATACAAAATAACATGCAGTTTTTATACGACCGCAAACAAATTTTGTGGTCGTATATTGGTATGACGTTGTCGTCGTCGACGTTGTCCGAAGACACATTGGTTTTCACACTCTAACTTTAGTTTAAGTGAATGGATCTCTATGAAATTTTACCATTGGGTTCAATACCACAAAAGAAAGGTTGGGATTCAGTGTTCCAGCTAGCATGAAATGGAGGGGCGCTGCGCCCCGCCCCCGAAATTTTGCACCCCTCTGCCTTTTTTAAGCGCCCCTGCGCCCCTCTGTGTCCTTTTGAAAAAAGTTTAAAAAACAATCTTTTTTCCTCATATCGTCGTCATTTTGTTGAGTTCTTTATACACACACTTCATTAAGACAACAGATTAAAATTGTTGACACTTGTTACCTGTATATAATCACCTATTTGATTAGAGTCAATTACTTAATTAGGTGAAATTTACGACCCTGTCTAATCCCTTTGCCCTGAAGCACCAAACATCCAAGTTAAATGAATTGATTTTTTAGCACCTGACGATGCAAAATAGAAGTTATAAAATAAATGTGAACGATGTTCATTTCTATTGTAATTGTTATTTATAAAATAACGTTCATTAAAAAAGAATCATTCCAATAGTATATTGTAAATCGTCAACACGCAAAATGCCGACAAAAAAAAGAAAAATTGACCAACTCGAAAATGACAAGAAGAAAATATCAAAGACTTGCCAGTCTATTACATCTTTTTTTCAAGAATAATGACCATCAAAGGTAAAAAAATAATTTAAGTCTTTACCTTTATGAAAAATCGAGAAGAAGAAAGGTTTCTATCAGATATCGCAATTGTTCTTCTATTGTAAATTCCGCCGATTACGGAGCACTCGAAAGTCCGATTTTTATATCATTTTTCTTAAATTGAAGTCCGTTTTGACTAACTTTAATATTGATATTATTAGATACGCTCAACATGAAATATACGGATATGCATGTTGAATTGATAATAAACTTTCAAAGTCGAATTAATTTATTATTGTGCCGATAACGGAGCTCTCGAAAGTCCGATTTTTGTATCAAATTTCTTATTGAAATCCGTTTTGACAAACTTATTGATATTATTAGATACGCTCAACATGAAATATACGGAGATGCTTGTTGAATTGATAATAAACTTTCAAAGTTTAATTAACAAACTTATTTGTTGAATCAATCTATTTCTCAAGATCGAAATAAAGACAATTGTCTCATTGGCACTCTTATTTAAATTCACAACCAAACCTACACAATTTTCAATGTATGTAATAGTATAGAGTATTTAACTTAGCTACATGCTAAAAATATGTCATTATGTGGTAATATTAAGTATTTGATTTTTTTCAGGAGAACGCGCTAAAGTGCCCTTTTTTAAAAACGCGCCCCTCTATTTTCAAATCCTAGCTGGAACACTGGGATTGATTTTGGGGGTTATGGTACCAACAGTTAAGGAATTAGGGGCCAAAAATATGCGTTTTTGTAACTTCCAGACATAACTTGTGTGTTAGTGTATGGATCTCTCTGACATTGTACCACAAGGTTCCATATCACAAACTGAAAGGGAATGCTGGGATTGATTTTGGGGGTAATTGCCTCAAAATTTTAGGAATTAGGGGCCAAAAAAGGGGCAAAATACAAGCATTTTTCTAGTTTCATGACAATAACTTGTGTGTAAGTGTATGGATCTTTCTGAAATTGTACTACAAGGTTCCATATCACAAAGGGAAAGCTGGATTAGAGTTTGGGGGTAATTGCCCTAAACGTTTAGGAATAAGGGGCCAAAAAGGGGCCAAAAATAAGCATTTTTCTAGTTTCCAGACAATAACTTGTGTTCAAGTGTATGGATCTCTCTGAAATTGTACTGCAAGGCACCATACCACAAAGGGAAGGCTGGGATTGATTTTGGGGGTAATTGCCTCGAAATTTTAGGAATTAGGGGCTAAAAAGGGGCAAAAAACAAGCATTTTTCTAGTTTCAGGACAATAACTTGTGTGTAAGTGTATGGATCTTTCTGAAATTGTACTACAAGGTTCCATATCACAAAGGGAAAGCTGGAATTGAGTTTGGGGGTAATTGCCCAAAATGTTTAGGAATTAGGGGCCAAAAAGGGTAAAAAATAAGCATTTTTCTAGTTTCCAGACAATAACTTGTGTTCAAGTGTATGGATCTCTCTGAAGTTGTACTGCAAGGTACCATACCACAAAGGGAAGGCTGGGATTGATTTTGGGGGTAATTGCCTCAAAATTATAGGAATTAAGGGCCAAAAAGGGGCAAAAAACAAGCATTTTTCTAGTTTCAGGACAATAACTTGTGTGTAAGTGTATGGATCTTTCTGAAATTGTACTACAAGGTTCCATATTACAAAGGGAAAGCTGGGTTTGATTTTGGGGGTAATTGCCCAAAACGTTTAGGAATTTGGGGCCAAAAAGGGTAAAAAAATAAGCATTTTTCTAGTTTCCAGACAATAACTTGTGTTCAAGTGTATGGATCTCTCTGAAATTATACTGCAAGGTACCATACCACAAAGGGAAGGCTGGGATTGAGTTTGGGGGTGATGAATCATAAGGGGTTCAAAAAATTTGGGGGAGGGATTTTTTTTCCCCTTTTTTTCCTTTTTTTTTCTTTAAAATTTTCCATTTTAAATTGGTTATTTCTGATTTATATATAAAAGCAAATAATAATGATATGGTTTGAATAGGTAAATTAAAAATTTTTAACTTCTTAGACCACATTCATTCTGTGTCGTAAACCTATGCTGTGTCAAATATTTAATCACAATCCAAATTCAGTGCTGTATCAAGCTTGAATGTTGTGTCCATACTTGCCCCAACTGTTCAGGTTCGACCTCTGCGGTGGTATCAAGTTGCGCCCAGCGGTGCATTTTATTTTAGTTGAAACATGTCTTTTCATCTATTTAGAAGATACTTTTCTTACTTGGGTAAATTAATCAAAGAGTGATAGATTTCTCTAAGAAGAAATTTAAAGGTCCCAGTGAAAAAAACTACACAGAGAACAATAGCTATTGTATTTATTCAATGGGACAATAGAACTGACAAAAATTTTAATAGATTGACCATTAGGAGATGAATCTGTGGAAAACCTTCATTTGATTTGCAAAAATAAAAACATATGTATATGTTACAATGAAGCCAATCATTGTTAAAAAAACAAGCAATTATTTTTAGATTTATTTCCATTTCTTCATTAATTTTGAGATAGATATAGATGTATTTATTTTCTTTTTACCAAATGAATAAATGTTGTATCTGCATAGGTATAGAAAACCTAAATACCATAATTTATATTAATATACTTTTTCTGAAAATAGGGGGAAGGGACCCGATACCATATTTTTTTAGGAAAGTCTTTCTGTCGAAATAAAAATCTATATTTAATGTGGCAAACAAAAAAGCATAATAATATACCAACCCTCCTGTACCCCCTGATATCATTTATGATTTGAATTGTATCTCAAAAGCACCATTTTTCAAATGAACATCCGCTCTTATTTGCCAGTACCTATTTCATTTGTCACATTTGTTTTAATAACCTCTACATTTAAATTTTTTATTCTATTAGTATTTGTTACAAAAATTAAACACACAATTGGTTCTGCCATTTATGTCTGTTACCTCGGTTACTGAAAATTCCTGTGGAAATCGAGAAAAAGTTAACTTTTTATTCAATCGTATTTTTACAGATTATAGAAATGTCCTTAAGCTTAGACGATAAGTTACTTGGTGAAAAGGTAGACAACTACTGCAGTAGTGATGAAGGAGAGAGAGATGATGACAGTGATGATGAACCAAGATCAACAGAAGCTGTACAACCAACTTTTGTACCAGAGCCAGAGATCAGAGAATACAATGGATACTCTACAAATGTAAATTCTAAATAATCTGTAGGATAAATATGCAGCATTTATGTTTAGATAAGTGATTCGTAAATTCTCATGCATCAAACTATCACCCATTCTCGTTCAAAATTAAAAATTTAGCATATTACTCAATTGCAGACCAGTTTCAAAATGGAAGCAATAACAAAATTGCAAAGAAACCAATAATATAAAGTTTCTTAATATAGAGAATTCCATACATGTATTTTCTTTCATGCAGAGAAATATGATCCATTTCATGTCTCGCCTTTGATAGTAGGGGTATCAATTTTTCATTCTGTGCATGCATCAATTCATTCATCCTGAATTAGGTTTAAGAACTTGGTAAAGGTAGTAACATCAACTTGAGACTTTGTGTACATGTCCATCATAATATGAACTTTTGAACTTATACATTGTATGCCAAATTAGGGTTTTGACCCAGATTTTGTAGTTTACTGAACGTGGGAATGTATATATTGAAAAGCAAAGAACATAAAATAAGAAGATGTGGTATAATTACCAATGGGACAACTCTCCACCAGAGACAAAATGACATAGAAGTTTACAGCTACAGGTCACTGTATGGCATTCAACAATAAGCAAAACCCATACTGCATAGTCAGTTATTAAAAGCCTGAAATGCCAAATGTAAAACAATTCAAACGAGAAAACTAACAGCCTGATTTATGTACAAAAACAATGAAAGAAAAACAAATATGATATACAACAACAAATGACAACCACTGAATTACAGGCTCCTGACTTTGGGTCAGGCACATACAGAATGTGGAGGGGTTAAAGTAGTTTTTTTGAGCCAAACCCTCCCCCTAACACGGGACAGTGGTGTAACAGTACAACATAAGAACAAACTGTAAAAATCAGTTAAAATGTGCTTAACTCATCAGATTGATACAAAGCAGAAAAACATCTAACAAAAACACAAACAGGATATGACAGGGTATTTATACATCCCATAACAGAAAAGACAATAATTATTGATCTAAGAGTACTCTAAGACGTCATTAACAGTCAGAGAAAAACATGACCTTGTGCAGTGCCAAAATATAGGTATCAACAGATTGTAGTGTCATGAATGTGCATATGAATATGAAAATTATATTTAGTTTGATTTTAATTTACTGACAACAAAATCAATATTTATACCAATAAAAACAATATTCAAAGATCTAATTACGGTGTTGAATTTGTAACCTTTTAGAATAAGTTTGTTTAAAGGAGCCATAACTTTACTCGGATTGTATCTAAATTTCTGGGCTCCGTAAGGATCCATAAGTTTACTTGGATTGTATCTAAATTTCTGGGCTCCGTAAACAACAATGAACTACGGATAAAAAGTTTATTCCACAGGAGACAAAAAATGCAGATATAAATGAGAAACAGCATAATTGAATAAGATACTCTCTTTAGTCTTCTAATTTTTTTAATTTGTGTAAATCCTCTAAACCATATTACTTCAACTTAATAAACACAAACTATAATGTTTTGTTGTAAAGTATTTTATCTTTTTAAAGCATTATGATCATAATATGTAAAAACATAATTTTGTTTTTTTTTATTCAGACTGGTCCTAAAGGAGTAATCAATGACTGGAGGGAATTCAAGAGGTTGGAAACAGAGAAGAAGGGTGAACAAGAAAGAGAAAGACAAGCATTATTGAAGAAACTTTCTATAACTTGTAGATCCCATGTAATAAGATTTCTCTCTTTTTAAAAAGTTTTATAAATGACTGGAAAATTTGATGTAAGACAAACAAAAAAAAGATAGACAATCATAAGTGATGAGCTTTCTATAAATTGTAGATCCCATGTAATAACATTTGTCTCTTTTTAAGAAATTAAAAAAAGAAATAGAATCTTAATTTTGCATTCAACCTGTGATCTGCATTTAAACTCTTTTATTTTCAATCATGGTATAGTTGACTTTTTTCATCTCTCAACTCTTAAATAATTATAATTCTGCTATAAATTTTCAACATTATTTGTCAAATATTGAACTATACTATGGATACACTGATTTTTTGTTTTTATAAAACTAGCTTGATGATGAGAGAGAAAAACAGAAGGACGAACAGTTTATGGAAAAAATGGAAAGGGAAATGGATGAAATTGAAGAAGAATTCATGAAACAGTATAGAGAAAAGAGAATAGAAGAAATGAGAAAAGCTTTACAAAATGTGTTAGTTTAATGCAACATTGTGTAAAACACTATCAGAATCCCAAGAAATACATTTTTTTCTAATAAACATCTTAGTCTTATGAAGGAAAACCTTTGAATTAAATGTTAAAATGAACATGCAAAGAAATTCAGTACTGATTTATAAACTGAAATACATTGACTTTTTAATGTGATTTGTAACTCTCTCGTTATTAAATGATTAAATTGCTAGACTTTTAAGTACTGGGAGACCTTAGTCTAAGCACAAATGTTTTATAACAAGAAAATTTAATGAAGTCCTACCCTACACAACATATTTGCCATAATCCAGTATCAATTAAAGTGTTCTTCCATATTTTACCAGTTAATCTTTTTACAGAATCCATTATTTTTAAACTTGGTTTTGTCCTGAGAACTATTGATGCTGTACTACTCATTAAGGGCTTTTCAAGGACATTTAGGGAATTGTCAAATATATTCAATTTGACAATATTGTGTCCCTCACATAACAGATGATAACTTCTAGGAATTGTTTGATTTGGTTTGGAACCTTAACTGGGAAATCACAAAATCTTTTTTTCCTCTTGAAGGTGAAAAGGGAATTTAAAGATTCAAATAAAAATGTATGCTCTTTTGTTTGACTTGTATGTCTAGACTGTGATGTTTTCATATGAAATGTGTATCGTTTTCTTTTAGACCAAAGTTTGGTGGAGTTGTGCCATTAAGTTCCAATGATTTTGTTGATGAAATAGACAAAGAGAATCCACAAGTTTATATTATTGTTCATGTATATGAAGATGTAAGTACTGTATGTCAATGTCAAATTATTTTATATGATAAAAAAAAGTAAGACGACAAGGGGCAATAAATATAATAAAATCTAAGAAAGAAAAAAGAAAAAAAGACAAATTTCACAAAAAATACACAGAAAAATTGATTTACCAACATTAAACCCATTTAAAACCAGAGGATGAACTGAGTTTCTCAACCTACAAATTTGGGTACAGACGTCCGGCTGGGGTTTAAAAAACACCCAATTCATATATTCATTTATACGAAAATCCCTACCCATTCATATATTTCATAAGAAAATCTCAACCCATTTATATATATTTACCAGCTATCATGACACCATGTGGGATCTGTGATACATATTATGAGAAACAAAGATCACAACACAGTATTTACAGACATAACAGAAAATAAACATGTATGACCCTCCATTGACATATAAATTTCTACCCATTGATATATAACCTCCCTGAAATTGCACCGCATAGATATATTTGACATTCCAAAAAAGTGACCCATACCAACAGTCTGTGTATACCTTTATATAGAAAGAACCCCCCCTATTTGCTATTTGCTATAACTTTGACAGCCTTTTGATCATCCATTTATAGAACCTTCCAGTTGTCATCTAGGCATGGTTACAATTGATGTAAAAGACATATTGAGAATTCCAATTTGGTCTTCTTTGTGAATCTAAAGAACTCATCAGGATAACTTTTGATAAAATTGTCTAATGGTAGTTCCTTTTATTGTGTTATGTTGAAAAATTTAGAAGTCTATTTTATTTAGCTAACCTCTTAAATGTAACAATTTAATTTCAGAGAAGCAAAGCTTGCAAAACGATGAATGGATGTTTAGTTAATTTAGCACAGGAATATCCAACTGTGAAATTTTGTAAAATTAGAGCCACAGAAACTAAACTTAGTATGAAATTTGTAAGTATACAAATCTGATAAGCTACTGTTTTTGAATTTGACATACATTTCCAATTTCAATATTAAGTTTTTTTATTTCAATCATTTTACAAAAATTATGATACTGTTAGTTAAAAAAAATATTTCAGGAAGCTATGTTTTTGAATTTTATTTTTCTTCTCAAATGTGAAAATTAGATTATGGTGGGATTTTTTGTAAAGAAATCTGTATACTATCTAGCTCAAATGTATACTACAAATATGAAAATGGGGCCCAAAATCAAAAACAGCCAGAGCTTGCCTGTCCCAAATCACCTCCGATGAGACATTATTCTCCTTTATTAGCCATTTCTTTTGAAACTAGATGTATAAGATTTAGTTGAATTATAAAACTTTTGAAAGAGAATATTGTTTTCCAAAATTTTGATCTGACAGAAAATATTGGTTCTCTTTTGCTGGTATCTTTGTCTTCTACCATGCTAAAACCTGTAACTTGACTATCATTACATAAACAGTTATATTGTAACATTGTTTTACCTTATTTTTAAGGCCAAGGATGGTGTTCCAGCATTGTTGATATATAAAGGAGGTGATATGATAGGGAACTTTATAAGAATCTCTGATGAACTAGGGGACGATTTCTTTTCCTCCGATGTTGAGAGTATATTGGAAGAGTGAGTATACATGTATACAGAAGACTGTTGGTGGAATCTAATTTATTTATAATGTATTATGCTAATGGAAATAGAACATTTGACTACAAAAACTACAAAAACTAATAAAAACCATGTAAAATACAAGTTGCTACCAGCTGTTTTAAAATGAAACATTTATAATCCCTTTTAATAGCCTTTATATTTATAATCACTATAAGAAGCCTTATTAGGATGAAATTAAACACATCACAAAAATATAAAAGCAAGATTTTCTAATGAAATATAATATTATATATGATTTATTTTGATAAGAAGAAAAAATGACAATTGCGCTAATTATATAAAAGATTGAAACATAAATTTTGACACAGTTTTAATAGATGGCCTAGTTAAATTATAAGATTGAATGAATGAATGAATGATCTTTATTCTCATAAACCAAATACATAGTTACAGAGAAGATATTACAATAATAACAAATATTAAATATCGCATGTGTGAAATACAAATTAATATGATAAATATTTACACAAAAGATAAATAAACATATAGTTGTTTTCAACCAGGAGGATAGACTTTCACAGAAATAGATTTAATAAATCTACAAAGTTTCTCAAGCTCAACAATATTTTGGGTTGAACATACTTGTTTGAATTTAATAACATTTATATTTTTATTACAATATTGTGGTAAGTATTTGCTTCTTTCATCTTTCAAAAAATTACATGACATGATATAATGGTATTCATCACCAATGTCAGCTGAGTCGCAAAGGTGACACAATCTTTCAGATCTTGGAATGTTGCGCCACCTTCCCGTCTCAATGGGCAAACGGTTATTCCCACATCTAAATTTACATAAGGTTATTAATAAATTAAATGGTAATACTGATAAATAGTGCTCAAATTTAAAAACATTTTTGTACAATCTATAACACAGCCCCTTGGGCGAATTGTTCATTTCTGTTGACCATTCTTGGATGAACTGATCTCTTAATCTTTGCTGAACACTTAATACGACCCAACGTTTCTGAAATAAGTTGTGACTTTGCCATATATTTGACATTCCACAGTCATCAAAAATTTTCTTTATATATGATACCCATTTACTATCATAACCATAGTTATTTAGATTTACATATAACAGCTTATATAATAAACATGATATTTTGCTCTCTTTTCCTTCTTGTAAGCGACACCAGAAACTAATCATACGTGACTTGACGGTAACTGAAATAGGGTATCTTCCCAATTCCCCATAGATCATAAAATTGGGGGTTGAATTTTTTAACCGTAATATATGCTTGCAAAAACGCAAATGAACTCTCAAGAATATCTAAATTTTCGAATCCCCATATCTCACACCCATATGTCAGTATAGGAACAATAGCCTTATCAAACATATCTAGTTGGCATTCGATCGACAAGTTATTTAATCTGGATTTTTTTATTACAGCATACATTGCTTTAATCGCCTGGTCACGTAGATATTTTCTGGTGGAAAGAAATGAGCCACTTCGAGAAAATATGATACCAAGATATTTATAGCTACTTACTATCTCAATTTCATTTCCATCTATATTAAACATCAGGTTTCGGGGTATTTTACCTTTTGAAAATATCATAATTTTCGTTTTATTTATATTAATTTTCAATTTCCATTGTTTACAATACTCTGAAAACTTATCTAACATACATTGTAAATCATGGCTAGATTCAGCAAGTAGTATTGTATCATCTGCATACAATAACAGAAAAATTTTAAAATATACAAAAAGTTCATTTTCAATATCTTGTGTGACAGACTGAATTCCTTCAATATTAGAATTTTCTAAAAATTCTTGTAAATCATTTAGATACAAGGAAAAAAGCAAAGGAGAAAGGTTTTCTCCTTGTCTAACTCCTGTTTCACAAGCAAAGATATCAGAAATTTCCGAATTATGAACAATTCTAGATTTGACATCATCATACATGTTTTTAATAATTCTTAAAAATTTTCCGTTCACATGGTTTAATATCAGTTTAAAAAATAATGAATTTCGATGAATAAAATCAAAAGCTTTTTCGAAGTCGACAAATACACAAAATAGTTTCTTCTTTTTCACCCGTAATAATTCAAATAAAGCATATAATGAAAAAATATGATCCGTTGTGGAATAACCTTGCCGGAAACCTGCTTGGTTTTCATTTAAGATATTATAATTTTCAATAAAATCACCAAGTCTGTCGTTAAGAATTGACGTGAAAACTTTCCCTAGACAAGACAAAAGTGTAATCGGCCTATAATTTTTTTGCGTCTAATTTACTCCCCTTGTTTTTGAAAATAGGTATTACATTTCCAATAAGCCAAGCCTCAGGCAAGATTCCCGTATCAAATACAATATTAAATAAATGTACATAAATATCAACCATACAATCAAGAGAAGAAGCAATATATTCATTAATAATTTGGTCTTCACCCCGTGATTTATTATTTTTAGCCTTTTTCACAGCTTTCAAAATTTCATCTCGGGTTATTGGACAATTCAAATTTTCATTTACCGTATCAGAATTTATATCGTTTTCTATCAAAAACTCATTTTCGTACTTATTTTTGTTTAAGTCCTTGAAAAAATCAAATAAGTTTTGCAGTGAAATATTGCTTTTCTCTCTTTTTCTACCTCTATTGAACAATTTCCAAAATTCTTTTGGATTTTTTGTTTTTAATTCCTTCATCTTTTTACTCATTTCAGTATTATAATTCTTAATATTAACATCCATAACTTTTTTATAATGTAATTCACTTTGTCTGAGTCTTACTTTAAAAATGTTCGACCCATAATGTTTGTATAACCTCTGAGATTTTCTAAATTCTCGTTGCGCCTTTTTACAATCTTTATTGTACCAGTCTTTATTAAGCTGGTTCTTTGAGCACTTAAACATGGTTTTATTAAATGTTGAAGTTCCGAATGTTGCCTTAGCAGATTCGGTTAAAGTATCACAAATATCAGTAACAATCTTATTCACATCATATTTAGTAACATTATTTACATCATTTACATATGCAGACAATCTATTATATATATCATCAACTTTATTTCTATCTATATTGTTCTTATACTCATTACATTTTTCATTTTTCCATTTATTGACTTTTTCATCACCACAACAAAATGTTTTTGTTAACAATTTGTCTCTTGTTTCATCATTTGTATACAATTGTAGAGACAAAGGAGAATGTACATCTGAAAAAAGTTTACAAAAATTTAACACTTCAAGTTTACAGATTTTGTATAGAAATTGAGTAGAACTCAACACATAGTCAATAACGCTAGAATTTCTACTAGTTGGACTACCTGTTCTGTTTTCTTCCATTCTACCGTTAAGAATAAACATTCTGTTATTTTTACAAAAATCAATACATTTTCTTCCATACCCATTTACTACAGTATCTATACTATTTCGAAGCCTTGGTATACCAAGTTCATCTAAAACACCAACATCACTAAATTCATTATAATCTGTGAAATTATTTTCAAAAGAATTATCTTGATCAATGTTATAAAAATCAGACAAATTTCCCGTACGACTATTATAATCGCCAAGCATAATAATATAGTTTGTTTTACTACAAAAATTTTGCAATTCAAATTCAATTTCAGTAAATGCATCTTCTGATGTATACGAGGTATTTACCGGTGGGATATATATAATTCCAAAAAGAGCATCTTTTGGTAAATCTAAAACTTTTTTGTCTATACTAAACCAAAGTACAAAGATTAATATCACTATAACACATTTAAATTGATAAAATGTAAATTTCTGTTAATCAACCCTCATCTAATTATTGCAATCAAATATGATCTGATATTTTTTAGATTAATTATTTCTTCTTATAACCAGAAATGTGTTTGTTTTAACTAGTAAACGAACAATAAATTAATTTCCTTTATTAAATGTCACATTGTATTATGCAAAAACCTTATAACACAATATGGACACAAAGTGCCAAAATTTGTCTCATAAAAATTTAACAGCTACTTGTAAAAACCATAAAAATATCCTTACATAAAAAAAATTTCAATTTACAGTACCCCCAAATAAAAAAAAAGAAAATAATGAACAATTTGGATGTACATAGGCTGTTGCAAACTTTAATTGTCATCATCCCTTAGGCTTGGAGGTAAAAAGGGTAAAAAGTCATCAAAATCACTGCGGTTTTCATTTGATTATTGCCTTGTGACATGTCAAATGCAACAACTCTGTCACACTGCCCCAAATTAATGGATGTTGATTTTATAACAATCTAATTAAAATTAGTTCTCTGCATTTACTCCTCTTCAGGGCTATTCCATTTAAATGTATGTGGGAGGGTAGGAAGGGAAGTTTAATTATTGAATGTGGGTCATGGGTCTTTTTTCAGTATGCGTCTATTACCATTATGCAAAATTATCTAAAAAATGATTCTTGGTTGTAGGGATATTTTGACAATCCCTTCCTACCCTCCCACATTCATTTTAATGGAATAGCCCTCAGTTCTTTATATGTCGTGCATATCTCTGCTCACAAATAAAACAATTTGAAACAGAAAGAATGAACATAGGTTTTCAAAGAAATAAAAAAATTGTTAACTTGTACATCTTTAAAAAGATATTTTCAGCTGTGACTTTTCTAAGAAGATAATTTTACATTTCAAAAAAATATTTTCGCTTTTTTTCTTTATTTGATATTAAAATTTCAGACACAGTTTCCTACCAAATAATGATGCTATAAATAAATGTATTAAAGACAAAACAACAGGAGAGAAAAGATCTGTACTGGCTGAAGATGATGACACAGATAGTGATTTTGATATTGACTGAGATCAAAGGAAAGATAATTCAAGATGTGAAGTGACAAAATCTGAGAATAATATGTCTCAGATTGAAACATTAATGTCTGCAAAATTGTGGATATCCTTAGAAAAATACATTTTTAAAATTACAGTCAAACCTGCCTTTATGGCTACCTCATTTCAGTGGTCACCTGCCTCTATCTGTCACTTTCAGACCCTGCCAACATTTTCTCTATATAATTTAACTGGTTTGAGCGTTCACCTGTCTAACACGGTCAGTCTTCACCTGATTTCCACACGAAATTGTCATTTCAACTTTTAATAACGGTCATTTTAATGTTAAACTACCAAAATAATTATGACGAAATAAGATCGTGCAACAGAAGATGAATTTGTGAATTCCCAGTCTTCCACTCCTTTCAGTTTCTATTGAAAACCGTGTCAATGACTTATTTCTCCACGAATATTAACATATTTCAAATTTTTCTTAAAATTAACAGCACCAGAATCCGCCATTCTTTATTTTACTGCTTGAAAGTTCGATAACTCTGCTGATTGAAAACACTAAAACAATTTGCCCCCATCCCAGCACAGGTCATGTCAGAATCGCAATTTTTTGGAACCTCATTTAAAAGATCACCTCTCTTGAGCTGTCACTTTTGATACTTCCCATGAGTGACTGCTTAATACAGGTTTGACTGTATGTAAACTGCTAAGATAACAATTGATGTATAATTTTATTAGTTGATTAAATAAGGTGTTATAATAACATGTTTATGATATATGTTAAGTGTACTTACTGTTGCATCGAACTGAATAATAGAATTATGAATCTACTTAGAGAAAATAAATTCTGTTAAATGTAAAATAGGTCTGTTTTAAAACTTTTATTAATCATGTGCTATTAATTTAAACATCTTTTAAGTCTGTCCTTTTATTTTGTGAACTGGGTTCTCATTATTTTGCGAACTAGGTTCTTATTTAGCACTCTTTATGAAAGGCTACAAATTTAGAAATTAATGGAATATTTTTTATTATTTTTATGGATGAATAAGTAGGATTTGCATCTTTTTTTGCTATTTATGTACAATTACAAGGTATACAAGAATTGCATCAAACAACACCATGGCCAGTTTTCAACGATTGGCAATTATAAATGCATCAATTTATGGTTACTACATGTATATATGAATAAGATTATGTCATGTTCATCCCTATATTCCAAAACATAAAAAATATTTGTTTAAAATTAAAGTTTAGAATTCAAAATGTTTGTTATAACGGCCTATTATCATTAATAAATGTCACATGTTCATTGTAATAGGTGCTATGCCACACAATTTTGATTATTTTTGTTTATGAATGTACTGGATATATAGTTCTTCATTTGAAAACTGAAATTTTTAAGAAAAGTTTCATGTATAACAATGACAAAACCAAGATTTCATGCTTAGTTAGTTTGTTTTTTTTTAGAATTTCTTTAATTGTTTTTCCATTATAGTTGATAAAATAAGCCAGTTTACTGCTATTTATTTTTTTAATTCTCATTATTCTGTGAACTAGGTTCTCATTTATATATAAATACACCTTTATCTGTTTATGATTAAAATTTTTGTTCTTTGGGAAAATATGGAAAAAAAAATTTGTAGTCTTCCTTCAAACATGAGAAAATTAACAATAAAATCTCTAAAAGTAAGTCATTGAGGTTTATTTTCCTTTGCTTATTCCAAGAGTGCTTATCAACATGACTTATTGTCCAAATTTTAAGGAAAAATCAATGAATGATCTCTTCCATGCAGCTTACTTTAATTAGGTGAGTTGTTTGATATATATAGAATAATGTCATTTTTGTTTTTGATACTGACTTTATCTGCAAGAATAGCACTAGGGCTAGCTGATATTCGAGGTGATGAAGTCGGAACCAAAAAATAAAAATCCATTTCTCTTTTTATCTGCAATTTGTCTTAACTGTATGTTTTTTTGGTTGAGATAATGAAGTAAAATGAAGTAGTAAGTAAAACTACTTTTATGTGTACAAAACGTTTGGATAGTTGTTTGGCTGTATGAATGAAGTCGCGTGGATTACATTGATAAATTTATGCGGATGGACTTGGTCACGTGACTTTGCTGCACTGACACATGACGTCATTCCCTTATATATTCAAGTATCAAGTCCTACACTAGTAATTTTTTGGGGCCCTTTATAGCTTACTGTTCGGTGTGAGCCAAGGCTCCGTGTTGAAGACCGTACTGTGACCTATAATGGTTTACTTTTATAAATTTTTACTTGGATGGAGAGTTGTCTCATTGGCACTCATACCACATCTTCTTATATCTGTCCATGATCTTAAAAATATTCGGCAGTAAGATCAAAGGGAAAATGTACAAATTGCCCATAAACATGCATACTCCATATGTTTTAAATTTCAAAATTAATAACCAGCTTGATGTTGTTTGTATTTTCAATTTTTTATACAAGTTATTTTGAAACTATTATAAACTCTGTCGAAAACATACAGTGCTTAGATGTAGTCTGTAATGTAATAATATTTTGCAGGTAAAACAATGATATTGATTTGTCAGAATATGAATGCATATATTGTGTCCCACATGTAGCTTAAAACTCACTGTAATGGATGTTCATTGTACAAGCTTTACTCATTGTTTTCACTTCACAAGTCAAGCTATTTATTGTGTGATTCATTAAATTATTCTAATTCTTATCAAAATGGAATATTCACCTAGGTATCTAAGTTTCTTTGACAGAATAATTAGATATCCCATTCATTTACTCTATAGGTATTTATACACATAATGTGCAATATTTTGTAGAATTATTTAAGATTTTTAGCTTTTTTTCAGTTGTTATTTATATCTATGTATAATGATTTAAGATTAGGAGAAACAGCAACCAATGATACCTTGTTATACTCAAAAAAGTTTTTCTTCTCTTAATAGAAACCAGTGATAATTTTGTTTAGTGTATCAATATGATTTTTTACATCAACATTTTTTATTTTTTTATTGCACATATTGCTTTGTACCTAAGCTGTCTACAGATTTATCCATATAAAACAACTTGTTAAGAATTTACAGTCAATATTTGTATATTTGGTTTATTGCAAGTGTAACCCAAGATGGTATGTAAGAAAACCAAAAAGGGAGATAATTTATAAAATTAAAAGGGGAGATAATTTATAAAAATATAATGGGAGATAATTTATTAAAAGGATATCTTGAGTCATTCTCTTTGGGGAATCTCTCATATCTTCAAATATATTTCAAATGCATAGAAAGAAAACAGTTCATGTGACAGACAGAGAACTTAAAATTAGTTATGAGAGTTTGGACTTTTAATAATTATAATTTACATATTTTTATCAATGGAATCTGAATTTTTAACATTTTCTGTTTCAAAGATTCATCTTGAGATGATCTATTTCTTTTGAAGAGTTCTAATTATCAGATGTTTATATACATCTAGACTGGAGGATCATCTGTCTAACGGTCCAGAACAAAAGGAAAAGTTTTCACTGATACTTATATGTTTTTTAGGCTAAATCTGTCAAACTGATGTAAATCAATTATGTGCTAATGTATGAAATCAAACTCATGTTGTAAGTGAACAATTTTTAGAATAAACTTGTGAAAACAACTGTATCTTTAATTTTAAGTTTTGTGCCATTACCTTTTCTTTTTTTCTGAGAGTGTCTTCACCTTCACTGACTGTAATTGATATGCCCTATTTTATGATATCTGTGACTTGAAAATTCCATGCATTATTTGAAGTTTCAATAAACCAGAGCTACAATTCACCCTCAAAGTGCAAATGTGTCGATAGAAATACTAATGTACTCCTAATATATATTCTTTTTTTTGCTTTAAATGATGAAAAGTCTATTAGAGCTGTCTTGTGTGAAAAGAATATGTAGTGAAACTTGAAAATTTTGACATTTTCAATAGAGTCAAGGAATACTTCAATTAGTTAATGACTAAAAGATTTAATATAATCTATTTGTTTTTGTCTCGCCTGCGACTAAAGTCGCAGAAAGTGAGACATAGGTATTACTATCAGGCGGCGGCAGCAACAGCGGCTTAAACTATTTGTATAAAGCTTTATATTTCAGAAGGTAGAAGACCTGGATGCTTCATACTTTGTATGCAGATACCTTATGTTACGAACTTTCCGTCTGTCATATGTCCAATGTCCTTGACCTTATTTTCATGGTTCAGCGACTGCTTGAAAAAAAAGTTTTAGTTTTTTTGTTATGTAAATTTCTCACTTATTATGAGTAATAGGATAACTATATTTGGTATATGGGTTCCTTGCTACGTCTACATGTCCATCAGACAGGGTTCACCTGACCTCAGCCTCATTTCATGGATCAGTGATCAAGGTTAAAGTTACGTGATTAGGTCCGTTTCTCAGATACTACAAGCAGTAGGTCAGCTATATGTGGTGTATGGAATGATTATAAGGGATACATGTCAGTCTGGCAGGTTTCATCTGACCTTGACCTCATTTTCACGGTTCATTGGTCAATGTTAAGTTTTTGTGTTTTGGTCTGTTTTTATACGACCGCAAAAAAATTTTGTGGTCGTATATTGGTATGACGTTGGCGTCGTCGTCGTCGTCCGGCGTCGTCGTCGTCCGGCGTCGTCGTCCGAATACACAATGGTTTTCGCACTCTAACTTTAGTTTAAGTGAATGGATCTCTATGAAATTTTACCATAAGGTTCAATACCACAAAAGGAAGGTGGAGATTGATTTTGGGGGTTATGGTACCAACAGTTAAATAATTAGGGGCCAAAAAGGGGCAGAAAATAAGCATTTTTGTAACTTCCAGACACAACTTGTGTGTTATTGTATGGATCTCTTTGACATTGTACTACAAGATTCCATATCACAAAGGGTCGATGATGGGATTGATTTTGGGGTTAATTTCCTCGAAATTTTAGGAATAAGGGGCCAAAAGGGGGCAAAAAACAAGCATTTTTCTAGTTTCATGACAATAACTTGTGTGTAAGTGTATGGATCTTTCTGAAATTTTACTACAAGGTTCCATTTCGCAAAGGGAAAGCTGGAATTGAGTTTTGTGGTAATTGCCCAAAACGTTTAGTAATAAGGGGCCTAAAAAGGGGTGAAAAATAAGCATTTTTTAGTTTCTAGACAATAACTTGTGTTCAAGTGTATGGATCTCTCTAAAATTGTATTACAAGGTACCATACCACAAAGGCAAGGCTGTTATTGAGCTTGGTTTGGGGGGGAAGGGGGGGGGGGGTCAAAAAAGGGGTAATTATTTTTTTTCGTTTAAGGAATAAGGGGAAAAAAGGTTAAAAAACTAGGGTTTCCATTTTAATAGACAAATAATTGAGTAAAGAACATTATTTAAAAACAGTGTAAGGTTTGTAATTCAAACTCATTTAAATATCTCACCTGCACTATGTTTGAATTATGTAAATTGGAAATTTGCCAATTATTTTAGTATAATAAACTTCATTGGAAATTTGCCAATATAAAATTTTGCTGATGAAGGTTTTTTGTTTACCTTTAGTCTGACTATGATGTCATTTTCTATTTTAATAGCCTTATGATGTAGTTAAATTTTTTTTAATACTTTTATGATGTATTTTAATGCGCTTTTATGGTTGCAAATTTATTGTTTTAATATAATAAACTCCATTGGAAATTTACCAATAGTTTGTTTATTTTTAGCTATGACTATGATGTCATTTTCTATTTAATTTTAAGGTTACAAATTAATTTCAGTTTTAAATATTATTGTAAAATGTTTGCCCAAAACATTTATTAATAAGTGGCCAAAAAAGGGGGCAAAAATAAGCATTTTTTTAGTTTCCAGACATTAACTTGTGTTCAAGTGTATGGATTTCTCTGAAATTGTACTTAAAGGTACCATACCACAAAGGGAAGTGGGTCAAAAAAATTTGGGGGGGGGGGGGGGGGGGGATTTTTTTTCCTTTTTTTTTTCTTTAAAATTTTCCATTTTAAGTTGGTTAATTGTGATCACAAAGAGAAAGTTGGAATTGAGTTTGGGGGATAATTGCTCAAATGTTTAGGAATAAGGGGCTAAAAAAGGGGTTAAAAATAAGCATTTTTTTTTAGTTTCCAACAATTAATTGTGTTTAAGTAATTGGATCTCTGTGAAATTGTACTGCAAGGTACCATACCACAAACTGAAGGCTGGGATTGAGTTTGGGGGGGGCGTGATGTGTGAAAATTTTCCACTTAAAGTTGGTTAATTATTTCTGATTTAGATATAAAAGCAAATAATAATGATGTGGTTTGATTTTATCAAAAACTTAAATTGAAGTTATGTATATTGTAAATTTAGGTTACATTGGAATTTAAGAATTGGCTTTGGGGTAGGGTTATGGCTCAAACCTTTAAATAATAAGGGAAAAAAGGTGAAAAAACAAGGGTTTCCAGGTTAATAGACAAATAAGTACAAAACATTATTTAAAAGCAGTGTAAGGTTGGTAATTCAAACTCATTTAAATATCTCACTTACACTGCTTTTAAATTATGTAAATTGGAAATTTGCCAATAACTTTATTGTTAATAAATGCATTGGAAATTTGCCAACAATTTTAGTATAATAAACTTCATTGGAAATTTGCCAATATAAAATTTTGCTGATGAAGGTTTTTTGTTTACCTTTAGCCTTGACTATGAAGTCATTTTCTATTTTTATAGCCTTATGATGTAGTTGAATTATTTAATACTTTTATGATGTGTTTAAATGGGGTTTTATGGTTGCAAATTTATTGTTTTAGTTTAATAAACTCCATTTAAAATTTGGTAATAAAAAAAATTTTGTTTATTTTTAGCTATGATTATGATGTCATTTTCTATTTTACTTTTATGGTTGCAAAGAAATTTTATTTTTAGATATTACTGTTAAATGATGCTGATTAAGGTTTTTGCTATGTTTAGCCATGACTATGATGTCATTTTCTATTTTAATATCTGTCATGATGTATTTAAATGGGCTTTTATGGTTACAAAGGAATTTTATTTTTAGATATTACTGTAAAATGTTGCTGATTAAGGATTTTGTTTATTTTTAGCCATGACTATGATGTCATTTTCTATTTTAATACCTTTATTATGTAATTTCCATTTTTAGATATTACTGTTAAATGATGCTGATTGAGGGTTTGAATGCTGGGATTGATTTTGGGGGTAATTGCCTCCAAATTTTAGGAATTAGGGGGCAAAAAACAAGCATTTTTCTAGTTTCATGACAATAACTTGTGTGTAAGTGTATGGATATTTATGAAATTGTACTACAAGGTTCCATATCACAAAGGGAAAGCTGGAATTGAGTTTGGGGGTACTTGCCCAAAACGTTTAGGAATAAGGGGCCAAAAATAAGCATTTTTCTAGTTTCCAGACAATAACTTGTGTTCAAGTGTATGGATCTCTCTGAAATTGTACTGCAAGGTACCATACCACAAAGGGAAGGCTGGGATTGTTTTTGGGGGTAATTGTCTCAAAATGTTAGGAATTAGGGGCCATAAAGGGGCAAAAAAACAAGCATTTTTCTAGTTTCAGGACAATAACTTGTGTGTAAGTGTATGGATCTTTATGACATTGTACTGCAAGGTTCCATATCACAAAGGGAAAGCTGGGTTTGAGTTTGGGGGTAATTGCCCTAAACTTTTAGGAATTTGGGGCCAAAAAGGTGCAAAAAACCCAAGCATTTTTCTAGTTTCCAGACAATAATTTGTGTTCAAGTGTATGGATCTCTCTGAAATTGTACTGCAAGGTACCATACCACAAAGGGAAGGCTGGGATTGAGTTTGGGGGTGATGAATCATAAGGGGGTTTCAAAAAATTTGGGGGGGGATTTTTTTTTTCATTTTTTTTCTTTAAAATTTTCCATTTTAAATTGGTTATTTCTGATTTATATATAAAAGCAAATAATAATGATATGGTTTGAATAGGTAAATTAAAAAATTTTAAGTTCTTAGACTACTTTCATTCTGTGTGAGAACCCTATGCTGTGTCAAATATTTAATTACAATCCAAATTCAGTGCTGTATCAAGCTTGAATGTTGTGTCCATACTTGCCCCAACTGTTCAGGGTTCGACCTCTGCTGTCGTATCAAGCTGCGCCCCAGCGGAGCATTTTATTCTAATACTAGAAGCCATTGGTCAACTATATTTGGTGTATGGAATGATTGTAAGGTGTACATGTCTGTCTGGCAGGTGTCATTTGTCCTTGACCTATTTTCATGGTTCATTGGTCAATGTTAAGTTTTTGTGTTTTGGTCTGTTTTTCTTATACTATAAGCAATAGGTCAACTATATTTGGTGTATGGAATGATTGTAAGGTGTACATGTCTGACTGGCAGGTGTCATTTGTCCTTGACCTCATTTTCATGGTTCATTGGTCAATGTTAAGTTTTTGTGTTTTGGTCTGTTTTTCTAATACTATAAGCAATAGGTCAACTATATTTGGTGTATGAAATGATTGTAAGGTGTACATGTCTGCCTGGCATGGTTCATCTGACCTTGACCTCATTTTCATGGTTCATTAGTCAATGTTTAGTTTTCTTGGTTAAGTCTGTATCTTAGAAACTATAAGCAATAGGTCAACTATATTTAGTGTATTGAATGATTGTAAGGTG